GCGAGTCTTGTTTACCTTTTTAATGTTATCTCGCAAATAACGTCATAGCAACCTGTTACATACATACGCTACAACATACGCTTGTAAATTTAGTTACCCATCCTTCGTAATGTAATGACTATTTAATGTGTATTGTGATAATTAAATGCCAGAAACTTTATATATGGATATATACTGTATAATAGTTAGTTATGAATTAAATATTCATAAGTAATTGTAGTAACTAATAAATATTGAACAGTAAATGTTGAATTTTACTCTTGTTTGTATACAAAGTAAATCTGGAAATAAACATCTGGTATTACCAGAGGACTTTGGCAACAATTCGGTAATATTATTGACTATTGGATACTTGTATTCATAGTCAAAGGTACTATAAAACGAGAGTAGAATGACGAGAAATATATTTGTACACAATATTGCATATTGCAAAGCTAATAATGAAAAATAAATATTACAAAATGAGCTAGTATACTGAGTACATTCACGTTATATAAATATTAGAAAATAAAATCCAACACAGTAGGCCTAACGGCTGGTGACGGCTTAAAATCTGTCCCTAACAGGAAGTCCCCTAGGATACCTTGGATCTACCAGTTCCGGTAAAATACATTTGTTGTAAAATGTTCTCAGCTGAGACTCCATATGTTTCATCCAAAACTCGTCATCCTTCACAACCTTTTCCACAGACATGAATCATTGAATGCTTCATTTGCTTCTTTATTCTTCGGAGTACTGCAATGGATCTCATTTTGTTCAGTTTCGGGTGAATTATTACTAGGAGTGATCATGCTGAAATATGAAATAAGATTTTTTAGTTTGTGTGAAAATAAAAAAAATAAAATAAAACTTGAAATTAAGATAACTTTGAAAAATACCTACCATTTACACAAAATTATTAGTAAGCCTACCTAATTATTTAAGCAATTCTAAATCAACTCGTGTAATAATAGTTTCCTTGGTTGGAGTTTCCTGACTTTTACGTGTAACCATGTAAACAATGTAAAGCTTTGTCCATAAAACAGCAAATGATTGTTTTAAAGACTTGTAACCTCGATGGTATATTTTAGCAATGTTTTAGGCTACTCAGCCAGTTAGCTGTAAAGTGGCTATAATATCAATGAATTTATGCTTACTGTGATCTTTACTCACACTTTCCTCATACAGCAGTAGTAGGAATAAAAAAAAACCTGTAGGCCTATCCTTACTTGATTGTAGTAGCCTACCCCAGTACCAACAAATAAGTAATAAGTAATATTTGGGTATTTAATTGTACAATAATATTATGTACTTCTAACTTAAATAACTCTCATCATACGTTACCTATTCTCGTCCTTATTTTTCTTTAATTCCCGCCAACGATGTAAACTTTCACTCCCCTTGTTCTTCAATCTTATGGCACTTAAATTAAGTTTTTTCTTTTTTCTTGTCCTAGGATTGGGCATCTTGAAGCACACCAGAAATGACAATAAACAAAAAAAAAAACACTCAAAACACGGTGAAAATCAGTGCAAGTGTGCAAGCGAGTGAGAAACACGTGGTCGTGGTAGTCGCCTAGGTAGTCGCCTCAGTTGTCATCTTCCCGCGCGCGCGCATGCGCAGACGGCTCTGCGCCATGGTTTTGGGGATGGGGATGGGATTTTGAGGTTGTAGCCTAGTAGAGCAGTATAAGGCCTTAGCCACTTAAAACCCCTCGGTGCAGAGTAATTTAGTATATTGAAGCGCTGTTGTATGCCTACGGTCAGGAAGAAAATTGAAAAAAGTGTTGTTAAAAATTACCATGTTATTCTTATGGAGAAAATTAAAACCGTTTTAATTTACTTGTTTATAGATACACTGTATGTTGATAAAATTTGGCAAATTCATTAATTTCAGTATACTGACGTATGGTCAAGAAACACTTTTTACCTTCCCCGTTGCAGCACACCTAAGCACTCGTTAAATCTAATGTTATTTAAATAGGAATAAGTTTGTCTTATTTCTGGAAGTATTTTAGTAAAAAAGAAAGAGCCTAACGTGAAGTTGTGCAGGAAACTTTCTTTTTAGGGAAATAATTAGAGAGTGAGGCCCTGGTACCCTTCAAAGTTTTGTATTTCTCCATAAGATTAGCATGGGAAACAACAATTTTTATAAAACTCCAGCTGTTGTCAGAAATTAAAAGTGAGAAGAAAAACCTATGTAAATTGTAAACCGTCAATAATTTTGCTAATTTAACAGTATGAAATGAAATATTCACTATTTTAATTTAGGTTTGCATAAATATTACAATGGAAAAAAGCGAGAGAGCTGATTTACATTACTCCTGATATACTGAAAAAGAAAAATGAGTTAACAACACTGTGCTGCATTTCTTAGTAATCATTGAACGAGCCGATTTTCAACTATGGAAACATAGGAAAGTTATATAACACCACCAAGGTGAAGAAATAGGAATAATGTTAAGAAGAAACAAGATCAGCTTTTGAAAAGTGATAAGATATTTATAAGAAATGTTGATTCTATCGATCTCTTATGTACAACTTAAAAATGTTATAATCTTTGAGTAGAATCTTTTAAAGTAATCAGAAATTATGACTGTTATTTGTTTTAAAATAACGCCTGTTTATATAGCAATTGCTCGAATTCGAGCAGCAGGGACACTAGTATGTGTAGAAACGGCGACGACGCAAAGATAGAATAGAATCAACCGAGAGGAGGGGAAATATCGATCGATGGCTGTGGTGGGAGAGCCGACGACAGGTTGAGCCGTTGGCCGCATGGCCGCGCCACTGCACGGCGCCTTGAAGAGCGCTTGCAAGCCTTTCGAGTCTGCGTGATTACATAGTTATCATTCAACTTTTTAGTAAACTAATTCCAGATTCTTGTTTTTAAGAATCTATTGCACGTCTCCCGTTTTTTATTTTTTCTCTACAAATTTTTTTTATGTATTAAAACTCATGATAAAGAACGCCTCTTTTTACATTTTTCACCAACCTTTGAGCCCAAAATTTTTTAAATTATCAAAATTTTAAAAAACAGGAAACCTACAATAACATTTGACGGAAAATATGACACCAAGATCTTTTAAATCGGTTCACAATTGGAGCTACAATCAGGAAGAACTAAAACCCTTACATTTGCGCGCGCCAGACGGGTAGAGCGCACCCTTAAAAATATCACATTTATTCCCTATTTAAAAAGAATCAGTTTAAAACATACTTAGGTTTGCTGCAACAAGGAGGGTAAGAGTGTTTTTTATGTAAAATGTTAATACAGTAGAATCCCGCAAACTCGGCACTCGATAACCCGGCAGTCTGGAAAACTCGGCCATCACCTCGCTAAGATAATTAGTGATTTTTTGTGTCCGAGTTAAACATTGACTCAAGCCAGGTCAGGTCAACTCTGTACCAAGGATTTGTTGTACTATATCTGATCACTTAATACTGGCTTTTTATATAAAAAAGGCGGTTAAAAAGCTTTAAAATTGTATTGATCTTATTTTTAACCCTAGTTCCCAATAATCCGGCATTTCACAAACTTGGCACCCTTCCAATCCACATTACGCCGAGTTTGCGGGACTCTACTGTAGTTGGTAAGAAATAAAAACATTTTCCAAATTTGGGCCAAATATGTTAATAAACAAGCAAACTACAACAGTTTACTTATTCTCCATAAGAATAACATGGAAATTTTAAATTTACAATTTTTTGGAATTTTCTCCGTAACTATTAGGCGCATTATAACGCTTCAATATAATAAATTATTTGTTTTTTTAAGCTCTACAAAATAGTTTAGAAAAAAATTGCAAAATTTTATGTTTTTTGGGTCAAAAATGGGAAAAACCCACTTTTACCCCATAAAAGCCCCCATAAACCCCCGTTCCCATGGTCCGATCATGCTGGTTCGCGAACTCGTTCGAATAAATGTAGGTTTACACGTTTGTACCAAATTTCATAAAAATCGGATCATTTTTGCTCGAGTTATCGCGCTAACGGACATATATATATATATATATATATATGAATTTGAACAGATGGTGTTTTTGGCCTCTAGGGACCTCAAAACGAAAAAAAAAATCGGTCCCGGGTCCAAGTCTTACCATGAGTAAACTACGGTAATACAGTAGAGTCCCGCAAACTCGGCGTAATGTGGACTGGAAGGGTGCCGAGTTTGTGAAATGCCGGGTTATCGGGAACTAGGGTTAAAAATAAGAACAATACAATTTTTAAGCTTTTTAACTGCCTCTTTTATTTATATTTATGTTACAAGTTAGTATTAAGTCATCAGATATAGCACAACATATCCTTGGTACGAGCTGCAAATGATTTGACTTGATCTGGCTTGAGTCTAGGTTTAATTCGGACTCAAAAAATCACTAATTTTCTGAGCCAGGTGATGGCCGAGTTATCCAGACTGCCGGGTTATCGAGTGCCGAGTTTGCGGGACTGGACTGTAGCTTATTCCCTATATGGGAAATTCGCTAAAAGCTTTTTAAAATACCACGTTTTTAAACTAAATACATTGGCGGATGCAATAGCTAATTTGCAATTATTATTTTCACCTATTGAACAATTCCCAAAATCCAACTGTAATTTAGGCACTGCAAATTGTTAAAAAAACCTCTGCAAAATGGCCAAAATTGCCAGGGCACCGAGCATTTTAGCATAAATCAGGTCAGGGCAGTCCTAGGGTTAAATCCCATGGCATATATGAAGTAGTTACAGAAGAAGAAAAGTATAAGACCAAGAAAATCAAGATAAAAGGACAAAGTGGAAGAAGAAAGACGCAACAGCACAACAACTTTCAATAATATATAAATTCAAACCATATGTTTATGTACAGACCAAAAAAAGATTTTTTGCTTGGCGTAATTAACCTAATCTTCCACCACTTTCTGACTGACCTCTAGTCATTTACTGGCAGAACTAGACAAGACGGTTCATTTTGATTATCATAACATTTTGTATTGTGATTTATGTATGATTGGTATGTGAATTGTCTCATATATTTACTTGTTGCAGAGTTGAATACTGAGCAAGTTCGAAGTTTAGATCCTTTGAAAGTTCGAAATATCACATTCCAAGACTTTCTTGAAGCTTTGAAAAGAATCCGTCGAAGTGTGTCGTCACAGAGTTTAATAACCTATGAAAAGTGGAACAAAGAGTATGGAGATGTCAGTTTGTAATTTTCTTTATTATTTGTGCTTGTTTTCTTTACATGTGTTTTATTTTTTGTTGGCTTAGTCTTTTAATTTTTTTATTGCTTTCATGCAACAAAACAAAAACCTAGTCATTGCAATCTTACCTTAGAGTTATAATTTTTAAGTTGAGCCATAATTTGTCAAATCACAATTCTAAATAACAAACATTCCATTAAAATGGAAACTGTATCTTTAGTCAACAATGAAGAGGACATTCATAGCTTATATTCATTACTTTAAGATCAAAATACATTAAAAATAAGGAATGTTAGGGAAGTTGAATTCTTAAAATTGTTTCTTAATATTGAAATGAAATGAAAAATCCTTTATTTATTCGGCCAAAGTTATAAATATTATGCATTAGGATATGATGAATTGTTTTTAATACCATTACAGTAGAAACAGTATTGATTTTTGATGCATCAAACTGCAATAGAATTCTTAACTATAGAAACCCCAACTATCCAAATCAATATTTGACAAAATAATTATTTAAAATCAAAGCCCCGGAGAGGGCACAGGTGGGTGTGCTACAACTTTGCTCCAAAGCAACGAGTCATCACCACCTCACCGCCTAAAGGCTGATCTGATAATGTAGTTCATTTGTGTTGGTTTTGTCTATTGTCTTCTTAATTTTTCTGCTTGTGATTTATTTCTGTGATTACTATGTTACATCCAAATATCTGAATTGATACTATCTAATTGATCCTGTTTCCCGATTGATTAATCAAGGATGTACTATTACAATAGATTACCTACTTTAGGTTTTTGGAATTTATATTCCTCTCAGTGGTGTATGATTTTAAATATCTTCTTGATCAGCATTGTACGTGTTATTAGATTTACAGAAAGTAAATAAAAGAAACGTCTTATAACACTTGAAACAAAACATATATTTACGCTTATACTGTTACAAACAAGACGGTAAATATACAAAAAAGATGGTAAGTGGTGATCGATTTTGATTGGACACTCCAATCACATCAGACCCAATAGGCGATCTTTTTTGTATATTTACCGTCTTGTGAGTAACAGTATTAGCGTAAATATATGTTTTAAGTGTTATAAGACGTTTCTTTTATTTACTTTCCGTGATTTTAAATATGTAAATTAATAGATTGTATCTCATTTCATTATGTCATTCATAACCCAGCTGTAAATCCGGGTTAACACAATGCCATTAGGTGAGACAATTGTGAGAAGACAACAGTTTAACTGATTGGCATGAAATTGTTGGCTTCGTGTAAACACTACAGGCATTTGGCTTGCCAACTACCCTCACAATTGCCCTGAAATCCAGTTGTCTCACGGAGTAGACTGAGGACAACTGGCCCCCACCAATTACGTGATGACGTTTGGCGAAGGCAACTGTCTCCTCACCAACTGGCATCGTGTAAACCTGGCTTCCCGGTGTCACTGTTTACAAGGGTTGCACCTTATGATTTAGTGGAAGATTCAAGAACGTATGATATTTCCTAAGTTAAATGTTCAACACTTAGTTTGTGCTGGACGGCTATTCCACTTTGTTCAACCTAGACTTAACGCACTGTTTACTAAATTTATCTGGGATGTAAACAGAAAAATTGTTGCTCATATTTCTTAGTAACTAAATAATAAGATAACCTTGTGTTGACTATACCACTATGGCCACCTTGGTCGAGTTTCAAGTATGTAGATCCATCATTTATTTTTTAAATTAAGATTTTTTAGAGTGAAATGAATTTTACTCAATCATCTCAACAGTGAAATATAAATGATAAATTGGGTGAAATACACACAAAGTTGTATTGAGATTTTTCAGTGTGGTAGTTATTTAGGTAGCTGCTGTATTCTTCTTTTAAGATCAAATTAAAAGTTGTGTTTAATGTCAAGCTTTTAACTTTATAGTCTTTATAGTCCGTGTTTCTCCTTTTTTAGCGAATTTCCCTATAGGGAAGTAGCTATTACCGTAGGTGGCACGGTAAGACCTAGTCCCGGGACCGATTTACTTTTTCATTTTGATGTCCCTAGAGGCCAAATACACCATTCGTTCAAATTGTTATATATGTATATATATATATATATATATACTCGTATATATATATGTATACGTCCGTGAACGCGATAACTTGAGTAATTTTTGTCCGATTTTGATGAAATTTTGTTTAAAGGTGTAATGCCAGATAAACTTGAATGAGATCGTGAACCAGCATGATCGGACCATGGGAACGGGGTCTTACGGGAGTTTTTATGGGGTAAAAAATCGTTTTCCTCATTTTTCACCCTCAAAACACAAAATTTCCCAATTTTTCTCTAGACCTTTCTAAAGAGCTTAAAAAAACAAATAACTTAGTATATAAAAGTGTTTTTGTACAATTATTAGTAACGGAGAAAATTCAAAAAATTGTAAATTTCAAATTCCCATGTTATTCTTATGGAGAATATTGTAAAATGTTGTTGTTTGCTTGTTTATGGCTACATTTTGATCAAACTTGGCAAATTTATTTATTTTATACTAAGCTATTAATATTTTAGTAAAAAATAGATTTTATTAGTTTCCTTGTAGCAGCAAACCTAGGAACTCCTTATATTATATATATATATACAGTCTTGGTCTTCGGGGTTCGACCGCGTCCTTAGGTTATCTACACTATGTACTGAGTGGAAATTCGCTTAGTCGGCAGGTTTGCTGCGGCGGGGGTATTTATTTTTTTCTTAGGACGTTAGGCAGGAGCCCGGGATTGTTTTTCACATTACTTCAGGCTAGACCTTAGGGTTGCGGCATTACCTATCACTTTGATAAAATCCATTGGTGATTTGGCGGGATTTGAACCTGGGACCTCGGGCACTAGACTCTAGCCACTAGACCAGCTCGCTCCCCAACTTTATAGTCGGTGTTGATAGTATCTGAACTTGTAAACTCTCTCTGCTTAGAATAAGTTAAAAACACGTTGTAAGTTTTAATAGTTTTTAGAAGTTTTACAATTTTCTCTACTACAAATGTATATAGAAATGTTCTTTTTTATTTGAAAAATGACATAACATTGTTTTATATCTACACCATTTATATTTAGCAGTAGTCCAGGCAATGAATGCTCAAAAAAGGCTATAGAGGGAAATGTTTGGAACACAATTACTGACTTGGTAACTTTTTTAGTATAGTTAGGAGGTTAACATACCTAAAGTCCCCGCCTCTAGCCTTTGTGCTGTGGGGGAGGGGGGGCTTGAAGGTACCATTTTTTGCTGAAATCTCGGAAACCATGCGTCCTAGCAAAGTTATGGTAATATACTTAATTAAATCTTATTAAATTGTCAGTAAGATTGTAATTAATTTACTATTTTTTAATATCTTGTATGCTTTTTGTTTTATTTACTATCAAAAAAAGTTTGTAAATTTAGACAAATACATTTTTTCCTTGTGTTTTTTGTTCTTTTGGACAAGTTAACTCTCAAACTATGCTTTCTAAAAATAAATGCTGGGCATAGGGTTGTAGAAAATCAAATTCCCTTCAATAATATAAATGACTTTACTAGTTTACCTTCTTCCATTCAGATTTTAAAGAAAATTACCCATCAGTATAAAAAAATAAAAATAAAATAAAATCTAATGTCAACATTAGATTTTATTTTATTTTTATTTGATCTATATAGCTTTTATTGCTCAAGCAAGGAATTTTAAGTTTTGGGACAACTGTTGACTACTGAATATTTCAATTTATCACCTTACCCCATCAACTAATTGACGGAAACATTCACCATTAAGTGGATAAAGTGAGTACTGGGCGTCTAAAAATAGCAAATATACCCATTATTGAAAATATATACTTGTGGGCTGCCTAACCAGCTTCCTCAAACTTGATGATCTATCGAGACTATTGTAATGGGAAAATATGGTGTTATAACCACAGAGCATGGAATTAATTTAGAGGCGGCTTCTCGTACCAAGATGGCGGCCGGCCCGGTCTGCATTTATATTTAAACCATTATATTGTTACCATGGAAACCACAAATCAATATTTACTTTTAAAACTCTCACCTCAGCACTTTGAAAGCCCGCGGGGCAGAGTCCTAGGTCAATATCGAAGGGGGGACTAGTTCTATATGTATCCTCGGAGTGGTAGCTTCATCTAATTCATAAAGTAGCATAGAATAACACAGTGGTAATGGTGCCGTGTTTTCAAAGTTCCGAGCCCGACTCTCTTACCAAGATGGCGGAAATCGGCTTCACTACTGGTATAGCTGTAGGTATAGGAGTGGCGACTCTATATTTATTCTATGCTCTGTGGTTATAACCATGTTTATACATATAATACGAGTGTCTGTATGGCACTGGAAACAAATCATAACAATTAAATTGAAACAAAGATAAATGACATAAATTTCCTTTGATAAGTTACTCTATATCCTTTCATTGCCTGGACTACTGGTAGAGAATCAGAAATATATTTTGTAGATAATATCTTTGACTATCAATTCAACTTCAGTATCCAATACTCAATGATAATATTTAGTATTTAGTTGTAATATTTTTATCTGTTGGAAAACTGGAAAAGCCTAATCTCAAGTAATGTAAATTGGAATTTCATTAGGAGAAAATAAGTTTGGTCAAACTTAGCCGTTATTGAGTTAATTGATTACATAAGGTCCAATCTCAAAGACCTTTACTCGCTCCGCTCAATAATACCTTAGACATTCCATCCCCATGTTAAAGTTGTCGCCAGGTTTTTTATCAAATATGTCTTAGTTGATGTGAGCCACCTACAGATTGCGCTGATATAAATTACTGACTTCTGCCGACTACATTATGTCTTTTACCAATTGAAACTGATGGAATGACTTATTATGAGCTATAGCAACTGTTATGACCCAGTAACTATGTCAGTAACAAAAAATAAGGTACAAAATATAGTTATAGACACTAAAGCAATCTGTGACTGGCTTACACAACTACATTAGTTTTTAGTAAAAGATTGGGGACAGCTGATCCATATAGATGGGATGTCTTCTTCTGTATCCAATAGTCAATGATAATACTTAAAAGTTAGTTCTTTTTATTATAAAAAAGGTTTTAAAATCAAAAAGATTGTCATAAAATTAATTAACCCATAGTAGAATTCATGTAATGGATCAAACAACGGAGATATAAAAATATTTTTTTTAAATTTCCAGTACTTTGTTCCATTTAAATAGTGTTGTTGGAAATGTTTAACGTTATATGAGTTTCTTGTATGAGGATGGGAATATCTGGAGAGATGTTTTCTTAGATATCAGCTGTCATAAAAAATAACTACTTTCTGGAAGGACTAATGACAAATTGTATTAGCAATCTCTGTTTTATCCAAAATTGTAATAGGCCTAAAAGGTTTCCTTAATATGAATTTTATTGTCGTTGTTAAAAATTGTTATGGTTGTAAGTTAAGGGAAACTTAATGTGACTAGCTTTTAGACAGCAAACAAGATTTTTATGTTGATACCGGATTGGTTCATTTAAGTTTCTTGGACAGAGCCTCCTAGACGAGTAATGTAACCAAAGCTTTTTTGTCCAGTGGCGGATCCAGAGGGTGAAGGGTGCGACCCTTGGACATTCATATATATTTTTTTACTGCATGTATTACAGGCATACACATTGCGTAAAATTATTTGTCACACTAACTTTAGACAAAGAAATGGTATAAAACTGCAATTTTGGAGACTTAGTTTACACTAATTTTTCAGGAGAGTACCACCGAACCCCCGGTTCGCCCCCCCCCCCCCCTTGTGACTGTTCTAGATCCACCACTGTTTTGTCCTTGTGATATTTTATAAATCTTTTAATACATTGCACATATAAAAATACTGTACAATTTTGTTTGGGAATTTCATTCTGGCGTGCATGCTTAACAATACAGTAGAGTGCCGTTAGTCCAAAATGGTTGGGACCGGACCCATTTCGGATTACCGAATATTTCGGAATAAAAGATTTTTGTTTTTTTTATTTTTTGCAAATTTTTTCAAAATATTTTTGAAAATAAAGGGTGATTTTTTTATTGGTGCGGTTTTTAAAACTTAATAAAAAAATAAAAAACAACCAGCATTGACATAAAAATGCATTTATTTGAACTACAGTGTCATGACATTTACGTTTAAAAATGATTTTTGGCATATGGGCTCCATTCCGTTCGCGTAGAAAGCCCAATCGAGAAGTCCAATTTTCGAATACTCTTTCCAGCAGCTGTGGTTGAATTCTGCCAATAGCTCGACGAATGTTATCTTTCAAGTCATTTAAAGTTTGTGGCTTGTCAGCGTATACTTGCCCTAAACATATCCCCACAGAAATAAGTCTGTTGGCGTGATATCACACAACCGTGGGGGCCAGATGACACTACCTCTAAATGAGATGATACGTTCACCAAATGTTTCTGCCAAGAGGCCAATTGTGTCGTTTGCCGTGTGGCACGTCGCGCCGTCTTGTTGTAACCAGACATTTTCTAAATCCACTTCAAGTTCATTTAGCTGAGGAACGAAAAAGTCCCGTAACATTGCCCAATAGAGTTGAAACTTTAAATGACTTGAAGCTAACATTCGTCAAGTTATTGGCGGAATTCAACCACAGCTGCTGGAAAGAGTATTCGAAAATTGGACTTGTCGATTGGGCTTTCTACGCGAACGGAATGGAGCCCATTTGCCAGAAATCATTTTTAAACGTTAATGTCACGACACTGTAGTTCAAATAAATGCATTTTTATGACAATGCAGGTTGTTTTTCCTTTTTTATTTAGTTTTAAAAACCGCACCAATAAAAAAATCACCCTTTAGTTTTTTTAGTCTTAGGACGGCACGAGCCCGGGATTGTTGTTCACATTAATTTAGGCTAGACATAGGGGCTGCAGCATTATCACTTAAATAAAATCCA